CGGCTCTCCTCTTTGTCCCGGTGCCTCCTCTCCCGGTGCCGCTCCTCCTTCTCCCGGCTGGTCCTCTCGCGGTGACGGTCGTAGCCCCGCTCCCCGTACTCTCGGTACCGGAACCGCTCGTCATCGCTGAGGGCACAGACACGCGGCAGAGAGAGGCTTTCAGGCGCAAACCAGAGGCCAGTGCAAGGAAAAGTACCAGGTCACACCTTTCACTACGTGTGCAAGCAGTCCTGGTGGCTGTATGCCAATATCTGGGCCAGGAGTGAGAGCTTCCAGCTTTCCAAAGAAGATTCAGTTCGCAATTTCACCATTGAAACGGACACAGGTATCCTCCCCGTACGTGCCATAAGCTTCACGTTTGAACGGGTCATGAACACACTTCCTGCACTAAGAAGGTGACAGTCGATTACTGATGCACACTTCTGCAGCACAGGGTCAGCCAGAAAATGAGATGGCTGTGAAGGACTTTCTTTAGCTTTAGAGAGTAATCAAGCCTTCGATCTTCAGCATCACTGTCACTGCTGAACTCACACAACTGCTCCCAATCCAGGTGGAGACTGGGAGCGTCTCACATAAAGAACTTGAGGGTCTGTCCTTATTCTCATAACTGTGAGGACCCCTGAAATGACAGAGCACCAAGAACACATCGGTATGGAGCAATTTACCTTTTTTTCTGCCGACTAAAAGAAGAATAACTTTGCACATTTTACTGTATCATCCCAAACTCAGTTCCTGTTCGGGACAACCACACAGGGTCACCAGTCCCTTATTCCTCAAATCAGCCAGCGGAGGACAGCCAGAGCAGAGAGGAATAAAGTGGTTTCCAGCACAACACACTAAACCTCTTAACTGCTGCTGAGCCTAACAGTCTGACCAAGGGATAAGCTGTTTATCAGTTCTTAAAGGAATTAGAAAGAAGCGTCGAAGATGATAATGGCTTTCAATCAAACCAAGCTGCACCACATGTATTACTATAACTGTCCGACTAGTGTCACTTTAAGGAATACGCAGAGTGCTCCTGCCAAGTTCAGACAGGAAACTGAAGAAACCTAATCATCCTTACAAGGGGCCTGAAAGGGGTATTTGCTCACTCTGAAATTAACAACTTATTTCTCCTTACACTGACAGTGAAATGTGCTATAGGCTACTTTTTTTATCACAACAGAAACTGGATCTAGAACAATGAGATCCTATCCACTGTATGTTCTGATCACCTAATATAATTGTGCCACACAACCACTGCAAAGGAAAGGCATCACTTTCATTTAAAGCCAGCTGGACAGTGTCCTATCCTCAAATATTGAAACCACTTGTCTGGAAGCATGTACTCTATGCAAACGGCCACTTCACTTGCCCGACATCAGCTATACATTACTTAGACAAGTGCACACCAAATGGCCAAGCACACGGATGCACCAAACAGCTGGAGACTCCAAAAAGAAAACTGAAAGACTTTAAACTTTCTGCAATTAATAACTTTGCTACAGATCTTTACATAAATTACTCAGACAGATCTCAGACAGACTCTGTCCTCCAGGGTGCATCACATTCTATAATTAATATCTTTCCCTTTTATTTTTCTTTATAAATTCAAGACATAAGTTGTAAAACTGTAATTTAGCACAGCGATTTTCTTTAAATTGGAAAGAAACATCTTTAACTAGTCAGTGATTAGACTGATAAAATATTCAGATAATGAAGTGTGATGTGATCCTTTCTCATCTTTAGTCTCTGAACCTGTGTTTCAGAACAAAAATGATCACTTCACAGCATAATTCATCATTTTTGTGCTGTAGAAATTTGTTCTTCCACTGCTCAGCAAAAGTACATCATAAAACACTTCTCTCACAAGCAAAAAATTAATGAGATGAAAAATAAAATCCCAAACCTTTTACTTAACAAATCATATAGTTTAAACAGATACTAAAGAAAAAGAAACAGCTTTCCCTAAGCTTGTAAATACTATCAAAGGCACTAAATAAAACAGATTAAAAATATTTTTACAGAACACTTAAAACGAACCACTTCAATTTTTCCAGTAAAGGTTTCAAACTGGTAGCCAGTCCGGCATGTTTCAGAGCACTGCAGGAGTAATGGAAGAAGGAGAAGATTTCCGATTGGAAATGATTCCTTGCTTGACTGCAAATAACATTCACAGGGGATTAAGAACATTGTACACAACTATCTGCTGTGCACATGCTTGTTCTTGATTTCCTGCAAGCTGGAGGCCTGTGGCTATTTTCTCCACGCTCTGAAACGTGCAGCTGAAGGCTGCAAACGAAGAGACTGAAATAGAAAGCAAAGGGGAGACAAGTGGCAGACGGATTTTAGGAGAACAGAAGACCCTTCAGCTGAACTTCCTCTTGAGCGGAGATCAAACACCGAAATGTTGAGATTGTAGTCACAAACAAATGATTCACTTAATGCAGAACAGCGACAGAAGATGTTGGTGGGAAGTGGGTGAATGTGTGGCAACTACCTTGTTCCCAAGCACACCTGCAACGGGTCACTGTTCTCGTGCTTCTGGGGCTTACGAACAAGGGTGGCCAGAACTTTTTCACTTCACTGAAAAGATTGCCGTGTCAGCCCAACAGATGGCTAATGAGTGCCAGAGTAGTTTTTTGTGAACATGCTAAAACGACACAGAACATCTTCCCTTCCAGAGGTGGAAAGGTAAATGGAGAAATACAGAGTAAAAGGGCTTTTTTTGGGGTCCCCTTTTTGGTAAAGGTGCTGGATGGCCACGGGTTCAAGCTTGGGGCGAGTGACTAGTCGAATGCAACCGTGATTCTCCAAGCGATCAAACACAATCGGCAGAGGACCTCCAAGAGCAGATCAGTTGTCCAGGGTACTCCCAGCTATTGGAGACATAGCAACCCCTGTGGCCTCCTGGGCGCCTACAGGCAAGAGGTTCTGTCTGCATGGGGCCCGTCTCCGCCAGTCAGCGGTCCATGCCCTCATTCCGTCTTGTGTGAGGCTGCAGGGTTCGTACCTGACAGCCAAGACAGCAGAGATCGTGTGAAAAATGTGTTAATGGCTATTCCAAATTAGGTGCGTATAACAAAAATGACTGGTGATCTGTGAAGTGTGCTTAAAAAAAGGTAGGATTATTTTCTTGATTCGGACCCCTGTTCAGCATCTCAAAGCAGTCTTTAGACTC